TTTGCTTAGGGCATTAAACTTTTACGCTGGCTCCTCTTCTCTCCCTCTTATTAATCTTATTTCTGCTGGTCACCGTGGTTCTACATCAGCGAAGCATCAACTCGAATGGCTGATATACTCCTATTGTTGATGATGATGGGTTCCGCTGAAGTGCAAACATATCAGCTTTTATCGGTTTCCTTAACAGCCCTACGTAAACTTTTGGCTCTTCCCCCTGGGTTTTCGTTTCTGTCCGATGTTGGAAAATTCCCCATCCGGATGGTGCAGTTTCCAGCTCCCTGGCCCAAATTATCTGCATTAAAACGCCCGACATTCCTGTGCACGTATGCCCCTGCATGGCCCATATCTATTCACCGCGTCCTTGTGACCCTTTCAAAACGAATAATTTGAAGTATACCATCAGTTGGCACCTCTGCGGCGGCATTCGCGGACTAGGATGTGGCGCTTTTTCGTTGTTCATCGAATGTGAATAACCTTGCTATGCTTCGCTTTTGATCCATTTGATCTACCCGTTGTGTGAATGGATTGCAAAACGCGATTTACTATAAACTAAATCAGTGGATCTGTTGCACCACTGAAACCGTATGTGCGTTTCTCTCTCACAACCCCGTACTCCACAACTGTGTTCATGCTTGTCTACACTCTTAGGTGGAGATGACAATACTGCGAACAACTTTTCAATCATTTACCGTTCTGACAGGCGTTGTTCGTGATTTGGTGGTGTTGCGTAGGGGCACCGGCCCCTAGTCTTCACGTCTTAGGCCCGAGTCACTGTTCTCCCTGTCTGAAGAGCGCACATAGGTATGGATCCAGTCGTGGAGTGTCGTGTTGTTGTTGTGCAGTTCAGTTAAACAATTATGATCTGAGCACCAAAGTGTGATGGACCCATTTGCCACGACTCACATCGTAAGAGTAGGAATAAATAAAAACGGCAGGATTGTGGGGTTAAACGCAAAACGGAATGTAGTGAGAATGAAAGCAAGAAGAAAGTGCGTTAAACAAATCAGAATGAAACAAAAATTAACGTTCAGATGCAAGAAAGAGAATGCAGGGAGGCTACTGACTGCGGTATCACTGCACCATGTCAATACTGGTGTGCAAAGTCCCGAGACCCCCATCCACGAAGACGGCACGTACGAGCCTTACAAAGTCTCAATCAATTTATTCGTCCTTTATGCCACGTCATCCACTAGCTACCTCGCGGTTTCGCTCAACTTGGTGCAGCTACGGCGTATAATACACACTGAGGAAACCGGTCAACGGGTAAACGGAAAATATGGAGCCTACCCAATTTAAGTGATTAAAATTCAGCGAATATTGAGGTGTAGCAGCTGAAAGCCTCTTGCAGAAGATCAACTGGCGGACCTCAACATTGCTCACCCGGTGTTCCCACCAGACGTGAGGAAACATCGGCGATCAAAGACAGCCAAGCGTTTAATGTCTTCACTACGAACTAGCCAGGTCTCTGCTTCATACAGTAACACTGGCCTTATCGCAACCTTATACACAGTACCTTTCACTGGCGTGCTGATATCCTGCCGTCTCCATAGATGGTTGAGTCTGTGGAAAGCCACATGGGCTTTCCTGGTACGCGAAGTAACTTTCTCAGTTATGTTACCACTGGATGTGACGCAGATATCAAGGAAACTGAACCTATCAACCACTTCCAGTGGCTGTTCGGGAATAGCGAAAACTGAGGTGTGTCGACCCAGTTTTGCAACAGCACTTTGCACTTTAAATGTGCATACTACATGCCTAAGCTTGCAGCGCAACACACAAGTCTCTGCAGTAGTGTTTACATAGCCATTGCATCAGACTCAAGGAGAACTATGTGGTGCTCGTACTCAAGGTTTATTAGTTGGTCACCTGGCACGTCTTTCACTCTAGACTAGTCTGAAATTACAGGGTAATTCATGATCATTTTAATTACGACATTGTAGTGGAAAAGAGATATAGGGCAATCCTGGCAACTCTCACTTGTCCTGAGGAACTCAGAAGTCAGTTTCCCGTAGACCTATACACCTCCTCAGGAGTCACGGTATAAACTGCATAATGGAAGCGAATTTAGCTGGCACGCCCTTCACTGATAGGCAGCGCCACAAGCTGGCGCAGTCAGTAGAGTCGAAGGCAGCTTTCAAGTCAAAGGAAACCACTATAGTCGGTCGTCGGTATTTGTGTTTGTGCTCTAAGACTTGGCGAAGAGTAACTGCGTGCAGAAGCTAATACAATCGTTTAGTTCATGACAATTTGCTCATGGGCTCTTTCAGTCACTGATGATGCCTCCGATCTGTTTTTGACCTAACCAACTGTTGTTCATAATCGCCAGCCATATTTTGTCAACCGTAAACCATCACTCACATTGCAGTGTGCAGTAGAGTCCGTTGCCGATTAGTTGGGCTGCAAATACGTCAGTAACCTCACGCTGTCAAACCTACACGACTAACGGCACATTTTTGTGTGGCCATTTCCGCGAGCGTCATAACATGTGCAGACCCTCCGAGCTGGCTTACAATGCCACTGGTCGATCGGCAGTTTGATAAGTGAAGTTGTAGCTTCGGAGTCAACCATACCCTTTGGGGATGGTGATAGTGTGCCGGGCTAAACTGCAGCAAGCAATCAGTCGTGACGGTTTGTCACCGTCACTGGTGCTTCAGTGGACTAGCCATGGATACAAATCCACGATATGTGCGAGATATGAATGTGTCCCGATAGAACGGAACGATCTGGCGCTTTCCTACATGTGAGCTGTGCTACTGAGTGGGTGTCCTTGTAATAGCGCTCGCTTCCACCTTTCAGCTGTACCGTTCCTGTGATTTGGTTAATCTCTATAGGGTAACATTGATCACAGGTTGAAGCGGTAAATGTCCTCAGGGAGCTATTCCGCCGTTCGTCTGCTTCCTATCCAAACTACTCCGAAGTGCAAGTTCTATCAGGTGACCGACTGACAAATCTTAAGTATGCAGACGACATAACTCTTCTTGGGTCCGGCGCAGTGTCTACGTAAGCACTGCTGGATAGAACGACGCATTGCGCTGCATGCTTCGGCATGTGCTTTGCACCTTTAAAGTGCAAGCTTTTGTTACAGGACTGGACTGATACAATACCGGTACTAGCTACCAGCGAACAGCCTCTGGAAGTGGTGAATCGGTTCGCTTACCTTGGTAGTTGTGTCACATCACTAAGGAAGTTGCTTCGCATATCAACAAGGCCCGTGTGCTTTTCCACAGAAACAACTATCTATAGAGACAGCGGGATGTCAGCCTATCAATGCAAGGTATGGTGTATAACGCTGCGGTAAGATCTGTCATATTGTATGGATCCGAGACTGCCGGTTCGCAGCGAAGACATTAAACGCTTGCCTCTATGCTTCCGCAGTGTTACTCACGTCTGGTGAAAATACCGGGTGAGCAATGCTGGGGTCCGCCAGTTAGTTTTCGATAAGAAACCCTTTGGTGCCTTACTCGAATGTTTGTTGAACCTGACTCGCTTACCTTGGCTAGGGCATGTCTTCGGTATGCTCGTTGACCGGCTTTTTCCGTATGCATTACACACCTTTGCCCCATGCTGAGGCTGATGTTGCATCCATGATACTTCTTCACCGCAGTTGGACAAACCAACTTACACTTAAACTAGATCTGTAAGCTGGATAAATTTATTTCCACTTCCTTTGTTTTTTTCTGTATACCTGAATAATCTATTAGCTGCCCATGTTACTTACGCTAATTGTGGCTATCTTCGTTAACTTTATCGCATTCGTAGCCTTTTTGAGTAACTTCTGGACATTTTGTGCTAATCGCGGATTTGTTACTAACCAACTTACTTCATATGCCAATTTAGCAAAGAGTTATGTCTGCATAGCCGTATGCTTTAAGAGACATATTTTATTTGATGATGTCAATTTAAATGATTGGCTGTTGTTTGACATCCCAGGTGTGGCTGTCCTTGTTGTGCATGTTGATAAGATGCCTGTTTGTCTACTACCAACTACCTCGTCCACACTGGCTCTAGGAGACAGTTGGTCGTTGCTGGAGGGGACCGGGTGCCTGGTCCTTGTGGTCGTGTGTAAGCCTCGAAGAGTGGTTCCATGCACTCAGTGTGGAGCGGACTACAGTCCAGCCAACGCCTTGTGTGCGCTTGATTTCCAAGTACAGCGTGCTTGTGTTTGCCTGTGAAGGAATGTGAGCCAGCTCCGTTGATGAAACGTGGTTCCCATCCCCATGCCTCCCGGTCTTATTCCTTCGGGTTTACACTGGATATGAGGTGTGTGGTTGGATCTATGGGTGGTGCAGCGCAAGCCATCCATGGTCCCTCTGTAGGCGCAGGCGTCCTGTGACTGGCCACAGTGACAAGCAAATCCGAAACCGGATGCCGCCAACCATACACCGTTGCTGCACCAAGTTGGGCGAAACCGCGACGTAGCTTGTCGATGACCTGGCGTAATGGATGAAGAAATTAACTGAGACTTGTTCAGGCTGGTGCATGCCGTCTTCGTGGATGGTTTACGCCAGTGGTCGTAGTCCCTATCAACTATGACTCAGCCAGTGGCCTTCCTGCATTCGGTTTCTTTTATCTAGCTTTTAGTCCACTTCCATCTCGCTTCTCTATCCTGATTCCATTTTTGGATTTTCTTTGCATTCAGGCTCATTTTCTTACCACTGCTTGTTGTTATTCTGGGGGCGCGCGCGGTGGCGTCGGGACCCACCGCACTTAAGTCTTGAACTGAACTGAACTCACCTGTTTACATTTTCGGCGCCTCTTAACGGCTCCCATTGATTTCAGTATGTCCACTAATTCTGATTGGACCTGTATTGCTAATGTATGCTGTTTGCATACGTATGAACTGTCGGTTTTTGACCCCTGGTAACTAGAATGATAAGGTTCAAGTCGGCACGACCATCCAGCTGCATCTGATCGTGACTCACGCCCCATCCTTTAGCACTTCTTTGTAACCCAATTGTTCTCATCACTTAATCATACATGCTTTTGTATCTGCACTTCAGATGAACCGATCATCAAACGTTCTCGGCCGTTGAAGGCAGGAATACTCGTTGAACCGGGAGTAAGTTTTCAACCCGTATTTGCCGATACTACTGTTTTTCCCCTACTGTTATCCGCATACTGTTTCTTGTGCGCATCCGCACAGACCAATCTTCACGCCGTAATGGTCTGCTGATATGTTGCATGGGATACTCACATCTCGAAGTTGATTACACGATCAGAACATCCAAGTCCACATCCAGAATCTGCGAGTCAGAATATCAGTCCGGCTATGCTTGTCGGAGTAGCGGTTGAGTGTTTTTCTAAACGTTTTGCTGGGATCGAAGCACAGTGAACATTAACAAGCATCTTCCTTTTCAAACCAACTTTTCATCCCAATTCAACTTCGAGGTAATAGCTGAGAGCCGTTTATTATGCTGCGATTCCCTCTTCTCTTTTCTCATGAAATTTGGTGTCTGCTGTTCATGCTTCCTGGATCCACCGCAGTTTGACGCCCGGATTGTAGTTGTGTTACTGAACTTACTGTGTCAGGTTCTCTTCGAAGCCTGATTTTTAAGGCAGTGCCACTGGTTCTGTTTTAACTGCGCATCGCAGTGTCGCGATCCCGGTATTCTAGACTGTGCGTCAGACCTGACGAGGCATGTTTCCTTCGGTTTATATTCTCCTCTTTTCAGTGACCATCCAATTGTCGTCATGGCCAGAGTCGGTCTGGTATCGAAGTCTCATCAACTTCCATCCAGCCCCTGCGCTCTTTTTGCTCAATCGTTTTGCCTAGTTAAACAGATCCTGTTTGTCACTGAGTTTATGTAAATTATTTCTAAGATTTGCTTCAGATATCTCCATAAGAACCACATTGTTTCGTTTATTCTGCGTATCACTCAGACCTCATTGGCGGCGGTGTGTTTCAGATCTTCGTTTTGTAGATAACAGATCAGCGGTTCGAAACTGCACTGGTGTGGAGGACTTCACAGCACCCCACACACATTCGCTGATGGTTACGTCGACGTGGTTCCGCTTTATTGCTGACTTAGCAACTGAGTTACCAACAACTAATCACAGTTCGAAGAATCATTAAAACAGGATGGTTATCTGTCCCTCGGGAATCCGTGCGTTAGTGCACCTTTCTTGTCTTATTGGGTTCTGCGTGGATATAGGCACTGTTGTAACGCTTCTTCTTACCTCTGCTCTCTGTCACTGACGACTGTTGTACTGTTGCTAGCTGCCCTATGAGACTGCGACTGTCTGACTTCTCAGTCACGCGCCCAACCAAACGACGGAATACAGAAGACCAAGGCTCGGTAAACAGGGAGTCTATCTACACCATAAGTTAACTGTATTTATAGGTATCCGAAACATGCTAATTTAGGAGGTCAAGATCGCTCATTTTTGTGCGTCCGGTTTTCAGCCAGTGTGAGTGTTCCACTCCACGGGTTTATCATATTGACGGTATAGTTCGATTCGTTTTACGCGGACTGGTAATTGCTGGCCGATCAATTCACATTCGATACCCAACTTTAGCTCCGCTAACGTCTCTATTAGGCACCAAAGTATATTGAACTTAGTTTCCATACCTTCACGCCATCCTGATAATACACGAAACAATTGTTGAAGACAAAGCAAAATAATTGAGAACCCCAGAAGCTTCACTAATGCACCACGTTAGACAAGAAACTCCATCACTGCTGCTTTAGCTTGACCAAGGTTTCCGGTCAGTTTCCTCATACTCTGTCACCTCGCACAGAACCCACCCACCCAGACCTCCCAAAGACGAACAATGCGCGCCGGCATGCTTTCGCATCACTAATGCAGCTAGTTTAGATAATGTTTGTGAAATCACCCAACTAGCTTCAGTCAAAGTAACTGGCATATTGGGCCAACAGTATCATGTTTGCTTGTGATCAGTGAGGCACCGAATTCGGAAGTGTAATATTCCTTTTTACACATCAGTGCGGAACCCTTTTGGGCATGTTCACTGTGCTGCCCACACATTCGCTTTCCATGTAGAATTTACTGCATGTGCTGCCGTCATTTTTTTATTCACCCTATTTGTGTATATTTCTGTCAGTTTCTCTACCAATGTTTTGTTTCATCGTTTACGTTGTGCTTTACAACTTACCTCCTTTCTTTAGCGTTGATGCGCCCTCAACGATACCTCTACACTATGCACGTAATGCGCTATTATCCGCTTTGACGACGACCTCTTGCACTTACTGGCTTAAGAATCTGTGCCGTTTTGTGAATCTGGAGGCTTACGTAGTGTAATTAACCACATATCCATTGGCTACAGTTCATTCATGCTGACGGACGTATTCACAACTGCTTGGTTTTTGAGCTCTATTTACTTCGTGCGTGCATGCATTCGTGTTCCATGCCATGACGACATAGCTAGTCTGGATGCTCCTTCGGTCACCACCAAGGCCGCATATGAATGAGAGGGGAATACCTGACGCCTGTCTTCAACCCTTGGGCTCCATAAGCGACTACTCATGAAAGTTTTCAGCAGCAACCTTCCATTTTCGTCTGGTGGTTAATGCGATTTAGCGCTTTTCCTTGCCTTAGGCAACAGCGATCGCTTACATTGTGCCGTGTCATACTCTGTGATTCCGTTGTCGTCAACTTGAACGACAAGCTCGTAAACTGTCAGTGCATATAACCGCTTAAAACAGGTGTTTTAGAGGTGGCTGCCAAGTATGTCTCGTTGACTCATCTAGTTCACATTTTTTGGAAGTGTATTGGTCCTGCTGCCTACCTTGGTTTGCGAAGTTTACCAAGAGGGGATCAATGTGGCCGCTGTTCACTTTTGTTCGTCTCAGCAGTGAATAAAGCCGTGACGCTCATAAAACTTAGTACTGGGTGTCAAATTATTGGAGGCTACTGCCTTCGATACCAAATCAGCGAACTTCATTGTTACTTTGGAGTATCTGCCGTGTGTTTGGATTGCGCCAAGCATTCTGAAAACAGATCTTGGTTTGCATTAAACTAAATCTGTGTCATCTCGAACAGTAGGACTGTATTCACCGAAGCAAGTACACTTTTTATGAGCCTGGGTTCTGTAACGATCCGTCGGTGAGCTTAAGCTAATCACCAGATAGTACTCACACACACACACACACACCTTTAGTTTACTATACGCGTTACTTGAAGACGGCGGCTCGGTCGGAGCCTCTGTTATTCTGGATCTTAGTCCACTAGACCAATTATTGCATGTCACGATAGAAATGGCACAACCAAGAATGGAGATGCTACTGAGGTGATTAACGTTGTTTTGTGTTTCTGCCCATATCGATTGTAACACAATAGGAGGCCAACTTGCACCTTCGAATATTTGGGTTTCCTCATGGTTTTATTCGGCTCGGAAGCCCGGAAATAAAATGACACCTTGTGTCACTCGTTTGTCGAATCCTGAACTTGGACAAATGCTTCAACTTGATCAGTCTGTGTGGACTCCACCAGATTATGACTCAAGCATTAGCTTTTTATCATGCTAATCTCTCTGCAATATCCCCTTCCTTTTATCTGGATGCCGCGGATCGCTGACTCCTCGGATAAATTCTCCGTACTGATCTCAGTTTATCGCATCAAACTACGCCGTCAGGATTATTGTTTTACACTTTATCTTCGCCAGACACGTACTTGATCATCTCATTTTCTCGCTTACCATTTGCCGTTTTCTACCCGGTTGACCGTTTAATCATCATTCTCCTTTCTTTTCAACATAACATATTTACTTATCAGAAGTCGTGTAACACACTTCCACGAAAACTCACTCACTAGCTATTTTACCTGTGGCTCTCGCTGACCCTCATTCCGTTTAGCTGCAGCTTATCCGATTGCGCTTTTCCTTCCTCTGGTGTGACTTTGTCGCTTTGCTCTTCCGTTAGCACTTTACTCAAACTCGCAGTTGTGTTCCACACCCCATAGCCGAACCAGACAAACAACGGTGTGGCACTCGCGGTGAACACCCGCTATGGCCAACTGGATCACGTGGGAATTCACTTGCGTCTGTAGCATCTGATTGTCGTTTGTTTAGACGGTTTTGTGATAGAAACGTGTGGGATGGTAGCTGGTATGTTGGTGAGTGGGTTGAAGTGACACGAAACCAGCTGGCCTTATGCCAGTCGAGCCCCGCCCATGTGAACTGGCTTCCATCACATAGACCAGGGGGGCAATGCAGTATTGGTTCGGCCTGATGCGAACGAAACACTGGTTGCAGTTTAGCGAGGAGCGAATTGACCATCACGACAACATCCGAAATTCGCAACACAAACGTCATTGAAGTCGGCTCCTCGCCTTGTCAGGTAGTGCATCCAACCAAACGTGTTCAGCATCCTTGGGACCCCAGCCTGACAGTCTGGAATTACCATCCGACGCCAAGTTCAAAGTGAAAGACTTCATTGCTCTTCACCAAGTCATTGCTTGGCCACCCCTCGTTGCCAGACTAGGCACTAAGTTCAACCAAAAGCAATCCTGGGTTGGTTAGTTTTTTTACTGCTTTAGTGTCTTGTGAGTAAAACTTTCTAGGTCTGGTTCGCAGTTCCTCGTGAACCACTCGAGATCCAAATGATTATTAATCAGTTCTTGCTTTGGATGTCGGCCTCCGACGAGCTCAGTTAGGTTGGCCAAGTAATCATAGTCTCTTTCCAACTGACCTGAAGCAGAAATCCATAGGTATCTACTAGATCCAAGTGGTCTTTCCGAATACTATGGTCCGCTTTTTCTCCCCCGTGTTCCTTTCTTCCTTTTGTGTAGTTTCTGATGAGGCTGCATTGTACACTGATTACAGCGCTTTTCGGTACCTAATTGACCCTCTCTGGTGTTCATTCATTGACGTGTTGTTTGAAACATATGCATGTTCAGGTGATGCTAACTTGTCATGCTTCTCTGCCAAGTGACGAGCCATTTCGACTCACCTTTGGTGACCTCTGATCCATCACGAGAGAAACACTCTCTCTGGCATAGGTTCATTTACAACTGGTTACATAGGGTTGACCGGATCCTCTACATGGCTTTTCATTTGCGTTGTTGGCATCTGGCACTGACATTCCTACTAGTAGCTGTCAC